ACTGTACTTATTAGCCAGTCCACTAGTTCTATATGGCAACACATGCCAAAAATATAAGTGCAACTTAATTTATAAATCAATCCACTAATGAATATAATAAATCCATAACTTAGGCAACTCATGCCCTTACTATTGAACCACATACCCGACAGCGACCCATCATGAATGCATAAGGTATAGATGAGTCTAAACTTATTAGCCAGCTCACATAGTTCTATATGGCAACATATCCATATAATATAAATGCGACTTAATTTATTATTCAGTCCATTTATTACCTAAAATGTAAAGATCGAGCATAATAATAATGATTTATATTATTAACAATTATGGCAACACATCCATATAATATAAATGCGACTTAATTTATAATTCAGTCTATTTATTACCTGAGATCCGTACTAGAAAGGACACAATTAATATTTAGAAATATTAATCGGACATAATAATAATTAACGGGTAATAAAATAATAATAATTTAATGTCCGTTAAACCCGTAAATACCAACCATAGGCCCAAAAATGAAGGTTTAAGGTTCTAGAAATTATAAACTAGTCCTAAAGGGTATTTTGGACTTTTCCAGCAGTTGCAGAGGTCCCCCACGCGCCTCCCAAAGCCTTCCCACGCGCTGCCACCTTTCCCCCACTCTCACACACTCCTCCACGCACCACAAGCGCGCGCAATAGCTCCCTGCTGACGCGGCGCATTCTGGTTGGTCTGTTGTAACAGACTTCTATGGGCGCGCTACACGGGATTGATCTGATGTCCTCCACTAATCTAACGGCTAATGATCCGAGCATACAGCAGTAGCATGGACTGCAATGTACTGGATCAATCAAATGACTTCAGTGGCCCAGATGCGTGAGCACACTAACTACATTGCGCCGCATCACACCGAATTACTCCGGTCACCTTCCTCACGGCCGGAATCCTCGGTCTCGCCGGAAATTACAAAAAAATTCCCGAAAAATCCCAGAAAATTCTATAAAAATCCCTAAAGCCTTAAATAATTATTTTAGCTATAATTAATTATATAGGCCAATAATAAAAATATCTAACACCCTAAATAATTAAAATCCCATTAATTTAATAAAATAAAATTTAATTCATCATAGTCCTAGCATGGTCTCAAACCTCAAAAAATAGCTGAATAAATTCAATGAATAATTTATGGATTTCAAGGCAGTTGGGGTAAATTCTCCTTTCACCGCTCCAAGCTTATTTATCTTATTTTTCTTCATTCTCTCTTCTAAATTCTATCCAACTTTACATAATATATCTAACTTTACAATAAAAATCTAACAATTATATCTAACTTTAAATAATATCTAACTTTAACTAAGATATCACAATAAATCAGTCTAATCTAACATTAATAAATAAACTCTAACCATTCAATCCTATCTAACTTTAACTTTAAATAAAACAAATCAAATATTATATATAATACCAATTTAACTTTAAATAAAATAATATAAACATATAAAATTATATCTACATACATATCCTAAACTTACGTAATATAACAATAAATTTAAATAACATACTTTAATTAATAATAACTGTCATAACCAATAATAATAAATAACATTATAATATACAACCAATTTTACTTGCACAGATAAATAATAATAATTTAATAATTAGCATAAACAACTAATAGGTAAATAAATCTACTCATAAAATAATTAAACCAATACAGAATTAATTTAAATAAACTCTTTAAAAATACGGGGCATTACAAATAGAGCTATCAAAAAATTACATAAAAAGTATATCAAGTGTTTGTTGATATATCATAATAAGTATTTTTTTATAATTAAATTATTTTTCAATTAATTTGATAACAATTTTTTTTAAAACACTTCTATTATTAATTTTATAATAATATCTTTTAATAGGATGTGATCCGTATTTGATAATATGAACTTTATTAAGGTGGGAGTATAATTGTCTTTATAAAAAATAAAAAAGACAAAATTGTCTAATGAGAAAAATTGTTACTTAAAATATATATTCGTCCTCTACACATAACATAGTTTTGAAAGTTCCAAATTCTAGGCTTCATTTAAAAGTTCTACTGAGCTAAATTTGGTAATTATTAAAAAAGTTTTTCAATACCATACGCGTTCTAAAAATGATGATGATAAGGAATAAAAAGTGTTAATTAGATTTGGAAACAATTTAAACTCTACATTTGGTATATCATTCTTTTTACTTGTTTTTTCAATCAATGATCACAATTTCTTTTAGGAGACGAGATTCGCGCTCCACTTTTCTCCGATTGTACTACATTTATCTTTTTATTTTAATTTAAATAATAAGAAAGTCCTTAAATTTATTAACGCACTATCCCTTAATTTATAATGTCATACCTATCCTTTATACAATTTTAACATTTTTTTACCTTCTTTACTTTATTTACTATTTTTTTTCCTTTCTATTTGTTTTTTTCCAGAGGTCCTCAAAAAAAATAATTTATTCCATACTAATAATTTAATTTTTGACCGTCAAAAGAAATAATTTATTTCATAATGACTTTTTTTATTCTTTTTTTTATTATTTTGTAATATTATTCAACAAAGTTAACTTTTTTTTCTATCAAGAGCAGAACTTTTTTTTTTTTTTGATAATTTTTTATGGGTCCTGTCAAAAGAAATAATTTATTAGATAAAAATAAATTTTTTTTTTTTTTTTGGGCTCTTATCAAAAGAGATTATTTATTCAATGTAGATTAAAAAAAAAAAAAAAAAAAATTTAATCCTCTTCTATTCATACTTTCTTTTTTTCTTTTGGGGATGTTGACAAAAAAGATAATTTTTTTAATAAATATTTTTTTCGGGGTTTTTTTTTTCATGTCAAAAGATATAATTTTTTTAATGCTTGCTTTTTATTTTTTTGGCCCGGTCAAAAGAGTCAATTTATTTAACAAAATTTTTTATTTCTTGGTCCCATAAAAAAAAAAAAATTGTTCAATTATTCAATTAATTTTTTGTCTTGTCAAAAGAGACCTAAAATAATAAAGATTATAGATAATGAGAGGAAATGTAAAATGATAGTTTTGTCATTTAAAAAGTAATAATTATTTACTTGTAAAGGTAGAGTTATATATAATTATCATTTCATTTAAAATTGTAATACAAATGTTGAAAAATGGGATGCAGATATCGCCTCCCTTTCTTTTTCCTCTACATTTGTAAATTACCAAATCGAGCTCCCTCTCCCTGTTCATATCATTCCATGTGGATACTTCGATAATCCTGTGGATTAGTGTCTCCGGTAGACTTTTGGAGTGCCAGATTTCAACTCTTTAGATCTACTAATCTAACTTTTAACATTTCTTACCTTTATATATATATATATATATATATATATATATATTTCATATCATTCCATATATATTCAGTCGAAACTTTTCATTATTAAATGAATATCTTAAATAGATTCAAGGAAGAAATGATGTAATGCGTGTTGGCTCGGTATTTACACACAAATTTCATTTTTCAAAAACGAAAATGAAGTAATGATGCTTTAATAATGCTTTTACATTCCTCGATTAAATTTAAAAGTACAAAATATTCCACTTTTTGAAGGTAATTATGTCATTTAAAAAAAAAATGCAAATTATGTCATATTATTTGTTAGAAAAAAAGAAATAGAGAGCTAGTGTATAAATAGGGTATGAATATATCACATCCTTTCTAATAAATAAATAAATAAATAAATAAATAAATATATATATATATATATATATATATATATATATATATTAATGAACTAACTTTTTTATCATTTGATAATTAATATATTTTTAACATTTTGTATATATATATATATATATATATATATATTAATGAACTAACTTTTTTATCATTTGATAATTAATATATTTTTAACATTTTGCTGTATCATCAATTGTCATATTAACCCATAGCTTATGCCGGTCGGCAGAAGCTAAGTTATCTCAATAACATTTAAACCAATACGTACCGATTATTTTGAAGTTTTTTCATGTCCTTTGCTAGACATACTAATTATTTTACTTGAGAATGGTAAAAATTCAAAAAAAAAAATGAGTTTTAATTATGCGTACAAGGTTTTATACTTCATCTTTATACTTGAAAAGTTCGAGATAGCAAAAATAGGTGCATTGTATTTTTATATTGTGGCAATTGCATAATTCACTGAGACCAAAAATAAAATTAAAAAACCACAAAGGAGAATTTGCATTCTAACATATAGTGAAGCCTCAAAGATTATTTCTCTCGGCCCTAGTTCTCGTCCATAGCATCATCCTTATCTAGTTTCAGCCAGTAGAGGGGCTGCCTATCCTACTGTAGGTTTGTAAGCATGGTTTGTAACAAACGCGGTCGAATATCGGTGTAAAAGTATCAGACCCAGGGTTACGAATATCGGTGTAAAAGTATCAAGCATAGGGTTACGAACCGACCGATACGTAACATATAGGATTACTATCCAACCAATACCGATACGTAACATATCGGTGACGAACCATGATTTGTAGGCTTGTCTATGTTCTAGATCATCAAGTCTTGCGAGAACATGAAATCACAGAAGTGCAACTTTTATGTTCAGCAACTTCTTTCATACTGTTGTAGAAATGAAGTTGTCTATGTTCTGCATCATCAACTCTTGCGATAACATGAAATCGCAGAAGTGCAACTTTTATGTTCAGCAACTTCTTTCAGACTGTTGTAGAAAACGAAGTTCAGAGAGTTTCCGTATCACGATCCAATTGCACAAAACCATTTCACAAGAGTGGCAATGAGCACGAAGATCGTTGTCGTGCGTAACACCTCCACCAGTTTATTGCAGCTGAAACTCTAGACCTGATACTCTCTTATCATTGACCTAGCCTTGAGGCCAAAATGACAAAGAACCTGAAGTACAGAAGCATGTAACAAAATAGATATTCAGGCCTTCTCATTTCTACTGCACAGTCCACACTATCCTTTAGAGTAGCTACCACCGATAACAAATTTTTGCAAAAAGGCTGTGATTCTTGTTTAACTTAACAAAAGTGCTATTTATACAAAACAACAAAGGTATAACTCCTACAAGCACTATTATCCCGATACAAGTAAATACACAAAAACAACAAAAACATAAAGAGAAAATTTATTACAGGGGTGTAAAGGGTAAGGTCGCTCTTGCATACTATATTGTCTACTATATGCCATTAGGCCATGTTGAATTCACATGGAACCTACTGCCGGTTGGGTTTCTCTCTTCATTTCTCCTCGAACTCCACATCGATGATCTCAGATTCAGACTTTGAGGAGGAAGCACGGTCTCCGCTACCTCTTGAGAAGAAGTCCCCTTTTGGCTGCCACACTATGTTTCCGCAGTTTGTACAGCGAATTATTTGGTTCTTGTAACCGACGAATTGCCTCTTGCAAGCAGGACAGGCTCCCTGTTCAAGTTGTTTAACACGAGGATTCAACTAACATAATATTCCACTTAATTCATAATAACCAACTCCATTATAGGTTTTGACAGAAAGTGATGTTAACTTTGTCACATCATCGACACAATTCTATGTAGACCTTAAAAGGCTACATGTCATAGCATAGGCAGTGGCTACAAGATGCCAACAATCTAGTCAATATGGAAAAATAAGCCATTCAGAAGTCTAGTTTTCCTGGATCCTCATGGCTTCACTCAACCTTCTTTGACAGCTAGGGAATAATAATGTCAACGATATTTTTTTCTCTTTTTTTTTTTTTCTTTTTTGGCAAGGAATTTTGCTTTTATTATTATTATATTTTTTTATCTCTTTTCTTTTTTTGATAAGCAATTTTGCATTTAAATTATTTGGGATTCATCAAGCTAATGAGACAGAAAAGAAGAAAGTGTGAAAATCAGGCTACAGAATTCCAAACATACTAATTTAAAGAAAACAAATTAGATTCAAGAAAAAATAGGGAGCTCTATATTTGTAGAGGATATAACTTAGACCACATACTAATGTTACGGCCTTCTGGGAACTTAGAATGTTATGAACTTGTGATATGCTGAATGGAAACCAGAACCTGGTTCATCACATATTAAAAAACGTGACAGGATGCTATCGTATGTTGAAAATAAAGGAGAATAAGGATAAACACATGTTTTAATATGTGAAACAATATGGATAGACTAAAATAAATGGCATAGTTGGTATGTGTTAGGTGGTTCAAATGACGAGTGGTTCACTTCCAACTAGGAAATAAATAATAAAAACCATTACTATGGAAATACACAAGTGGTTCATCCCTATTGCATATTTCTTAAATTGTAACATCACATGCGAAAAAAAAATTGATCTCGTATGTGCTCCCCTTTCCTCTCATCATTCTCCTATAAGGGCAACAATAATTTTTTTCAGAATGTTAATTTTAGTGTCCCGGTACAAAAGTTTTTAACTTTTCTAAATGCTTATTCTAACATATCATTCACTTTCTAACATTAACCATGCTACAATCTCCATAACGGAATGCTGAAAAATAAGGAGGTAAACTTCATTTTCTAGATTTTAAGATTTCCCATTTCCTTTTCTTTCATCCAAACACAAAATCCTAGATGTGTTTACAGTATTGCCCCAGGTTCACTGCATCGATTTTTTAAGAGTGGACTTTCTGTTGGGCCAATCCAAACACGCATTTGGATCTGTGACATCAGTAGTAGTATTCAATATTGCTCCAGATACATTGAATGATATATGAATGAGGTTGTATTAACTTCCATTTAAGGAAATGCCCATACAAGATGGGCGGTCACCCAGTCCCGGTCCCGGTCCTACTCTAATTCTTTAATCGGCGTAAAGAAGTTCTAAATTTAAGGTTGAGGGACTCATAACTCAATTATTCTAAAGGAGAAAACCAGCTGCTGCCTGTGAAGAGAAAAAGGTAAGGCCAATTAGTTGTAGCTACTTTTCCAACCAATTTGTTATAACCTTTTCCTTGCTTTTTTTTTCCCTGGTAGGTAATTGCTTGTAACTTTTTACACCACACAACCATGAGTTTCTGTTCTCTCCCTTGAACCAAATTATACGTGCATTTACTATGTCTAATTTGGGTCCCTAAACTGGAAAGGAGGAGGGGGGCTATATTTCTATATCAATTGTGAGTGGGACATTAATATAATCCTAATGAAGCAGCATCAAGGATGAACAGAAAATTTTAAAAGGAAGTAAAGCTGTGGGAAAATTACACCAACTTCCCTTGTATTCGACTCAAGTATAGGAAAACCCACATCCTACAAGAAATGACATCGACCTCCCTTTTGAATTCTTTAAAGATTTCCTTTTTACCAGCCAACCATCGATAGGTCAACTGGATGTGCTTATGTCATCTTCTAAAATATGGGGGAAAAACCTATATTGCCCCTATTACAGTTATGAAGCAAAATATCCATTAAACCCTCAATGCTAGTCAAAAAAAAAAATTTTAAACACCACCTGATCAGTCCATGACATTTATTACCCACCCAAAGTCAATCACTAGCACACATATATACAAATACCTATGTAATATATTTATTTTACCATTAACATCGGCACTCAACCTAGGCCACGAGGCCTACTTTATCATCAAAAGTTCTATTTCCTCCGACCTGCAACGCTTGAGCAACTCTCTCTCTCTCTCCCCACCACAAATCCACAGGTTTAAACAAGTACTTGCATGCAACACATGAAGCCGAGTCCATTTAACATAGGAGTGGTTTAACTGGTAGAGGTGGTTCAAGTGCATTTGAAACAAATCTGACTATTCCTTTACTAACCCCTTCTCCAATCGATAATATTCCTTTTTTATCAGAAACAAATAACCAAACAGAATCCAAAAGCTGCCTAGTATTTCTTTCAAAAAGGTATCCTCAGGAACAGCAAAGTAGACGACAAAGGATGGGCTAGAAACATGTAAGGACCATAACCAACAAAAAACACGGGCATGGACATGGTCAACTTTAGGAGAGATTTCTAGATTAGTAAAGAGGTAGGGATTTTGAATGCTGTTACAGCAGTAATTCCAAAAGATATTATATAAGAGTCAACTATTCCAGTTTAAAATTAACAACAACAAAGAAGAATATGGAAACTAACAGTAGGCAGTTTACCTTAATGACAAAATTATTGGCAAAAGTCCCGATGAGAAGAGGACCAGCAAATGGCAGTATCCATGTTGCTAATACCAAAAACCGAAAGAGCCATCCAGATAACGCAAACCAGAGGAAGAAGATTGTCTACATAAATAAATAAGAAGAGTAAGCTAACAGAGTATTACACTGCCAGAACCAACATCTATAAAAAGTATCCTCTACAAAAATATGGCTTATCCAGCTTGGCAGAACTGTTTTCTCTTCTTTTTTATTTTTATTTTATTTTTTCTCCCCCCGGTTATTAGAAGTTATCATTGCTGCATTGCCTATACTCAAAAAAGACATTGCCAAAAAAAAAAGGTAAAAATAAGTGTAAAATAAATGAATTTGTAAGTGCTTTCATTACCTTTTTAGAAGACCAATATAATAAAATAGATGCTCACATCACTCATTAATAAAATAGCAACACAACCATAAAATTTAAGACTGATTAGCTTAGATACAGCCAAAGCAGGACAAAAAAACAAATACACGCATAAAGAAAGTACGAGGATCTCTTACACAGCTTGTGCTTGGTGTTTGAATTTGTTTCTCTCAGATAGGTTGATTATACACCAATAAGAATATGAGGCGGAAAACATCAATTATGATGGAGATAGTTTAAGGGATATGATATTGGCACTCCACCTTTATACACTTGCATTCGGCAAATGAAAAAATTACCCCTCAAAAGTAGAGTATGAAAAGAATCTTCACCCAATGTGGTCCCCATTAATCAAGGGTGTTGGGAGAGGGAGACTGAATACAGATTTAACCTTTGGATTATTTGAAAAAAATGGCTCAAAAGCATAGTGTAAGAGCCTTTTTCTTTTTCTTTTTTTTTAATTTTAAGATCGGTGAGTGTAAGAGTACTTTTTGGAACAATTGTGCAGTGTGATATTTCTTTAGAAAGACAATTGTGTCATTTCCTTTTATTTAAAAACGAGAAATATAGTAGAGTGCAAGTCTGCAAAAATGGAGTGTCAATATCATTTCTCCAAGTTCATATGAAATCAAACTCTGTTTCATTAGTCTTCATTAATTGATAACTTTGTGGGAATTTGTTTTCTTCAAAAATTATGTACTTGTATACAATTTATCATTATAAGGTATCATAATATTCACAACTAAATAAGGTTCTGTTTATATCAAACGTCAGTGTTAGTCCACATCTTTTTGCCTTAATTATGGATGAACTAACGAGAAACATTTGGGATGAGATTCCATAATGTATATTATTTGCTAATGATATTGCTTTAATTGATAAAACTATAAAAGAGTAGCGCTAAAATTGGAGGTTTTGAAAGAAGCTCTAGAAATTGAAAATTTTAAAATAAGTATGAAGAAAATTAAATACATTGAGTGTAACTTTAGTAAATTAAAAAATGCAAATAGGGATGTACCGAAGATTGAGGATCAAAAGATACCAAAAAAAGAACATTTCCACTATTTAGGCTCCATTATTCACAATGAAAGAGTTATTGAAAATAATGCTAATCATAGAATCAAGATGTGATGGATTAAATAGAGAAGTGCATCTAGTTTAAAACAATATATGCCTAGAGTAAGTGTGAAAAAACACAAATGTTGAGTTGAATGCGCGGCAAGATTAAGAAGGATACAATGAAAAATGGACACATTTGTGAGGTGGTTAAAATGACACCTATTGAAGATAAAATGAGAGAAACTTGATTAAAAAATTAAAATAGTTTTGACAAGTGAGAAAAAGATCACTAAGTGCACTTGTTAGGAAGAATAACATGATCCAAACTTAGGGTGATGCTAGTGGAAGGGAAATAACAAAATTAACATTGATAAAGTTAGTAACAAAAGATATGTTAAGTTGTTAACATGTGGTCTGACTGAGGCTATGACTTTAGATAGAGTAGAATGCAAAAATATGAATTCATGTAGCCAACCCTCGAGTAGTTAGGAAAAAGCTTCGTTGAGTATCATATTATTCATACTACACTCTCATACAAAACTTAATAATTCAAACAAAATCATTGGTTAACTATAACAGTTTCTATCAACTACAACGATTGGGTCTTTTATTTTTCATGCCTCTAATATTATCTTGACCATCATTAAAACATTTTGCTAGAGATGATGACTGGGATTATGATATAGGCCAATCGAGAACGTTGATCACATTAAGAAGTATGCATGACAATATTACATGCAGCATAAAATTGAGATACACTTACAGCAAAACTTCTTCCTAATGGAGTATCCAGAAAATCATTGAACTGCTTCCTGTACTGCAAGGATACCAAGGCAACAGAAAATATAATTAACAATTCTCATTGTCTATCTTCAATAACAAGGATTCGGCATTGTCTAAGAATGAACAAAGGCATGCAACTTCAGTATTCAGAAAAATTAACTGAAAATTATCAAATAAGTAGTTTACTCAAATGCAAAAGTTGTTCATCACAAAGAACTCACTTAAACTTTGCTTTTACCCCTTGCATTCAACCAGGGTGATGGTTTCAGAAAGCTCTAAACTATTCAAGGTCAAGTACAGATGCATTTAGGTTGAGTTCATCAAAGCCGGAGGCCATGGCTTATAAATTTAATCTGGAAACCTAAGTTGGATTCGGTCTAAGTTTCTCAAACTAAATTTAGGGAACATTCAAGATAAATCTATCATATAGAAAAAAGGGGGAAAAATTACATACAGAAATCCAAACATTGTAAATTAAGCATAAGAGAAAAAGAGATTCAACATTTCAGCAATCAAGTTGCACGTTAATTTGAATATAAACCCTAATATTCAGAATATACATTCATATACATGCATCCATACATATATATAGATATATATATAAATATATAACCTTAAATTATCTTTCCTAAAACTTACGATGTGATGTTCAGTGTTCTATCGACTCTACTTTGTATTGAAAACCCATTAACACAGTGTTCATGCAATCAAATTGTGAATTGAGATTCTACATAAAAAGAGAAAGCCAACCCTAGGCAAATTTCTACTGAAATCAAGACTAAAAGTCCGCCATCGCTGCGTGATCGCGAAGTCGCGGTCAAGCTCCCTTGCACGGTCGGAGGCGGATTGGGCCACCTCCGAGAGCCGCCGCGAGACGGCGTAGCGACGGTCGATGCTCTCGGCCGTCTTCCTGGACTCGTAGACAAGCTGCTCAAAGCCGTCGTTGGCGCTCCGCCACGCGTCCCGCCACAGCTCGCCGGAGGCCATGCGCTTCGTGAAGCCCTCGAAGTCGCTGCGCTGGAAGGCCCGTACAGTGGCCACGTGGCGCGAAGGAACGAGCAGTTTTTGGGTGCGATAGAGGCGTTGAGGGTTGGAGGAGAGTAAGGGATGCCATGGCAGTGTCGTAGCCATGACCGCAGAGATTCACACAGATTACTCGCCTTTTATGCTTTTGTGTGGAAGGTGAAGGAGGAGGAGGTATGGGTTGTGGGTCTGGCTTGGAAAGGTTGGGGCAAATTCAACTTTGAGCCCAAAAGTATTTTGGTTTTCTGTAGTTGTCCTTGTAAAATGTTTTTGTTGTTATATTGCCCATCCCTCTATCTTTTGGTGGGTTAACTTGTTTTTAGCTCAATTTCACTTTAAACCCATTTTGCTATTTTCTTTTATTTTTTTAATTATTTTTTATCATTATTGAAGACATACCATGACATATCAATTTATTTTTATATACAAGACGACAAGTTCTTCAATACGTGTAATCATTATTTTTTAGCACGGAATTACTTTATTATTTTTTAATAAGTAACTGCTTGAAGTTTTGGACTCTTAACCTCTCCACTCCCGCTATGAGTATGAAATAATATGGGAATCAAATGATATATCTCATAGTGTTTTCTTAAACTAATTTAAAATATAAAATAAAATAAATTTTAAATTGAATTTTTTAAAATATCATCCTTTTAAATTAATTATTTTACAAATAAATTAAATGAACAAAATAATATTCTTTTATATATATTTTTAAAAAAATAAATGACGGCGGCGATGGTGGAAGGCGGCAATGATGTAGCGGATGATGGTGGAAAATGATGGTGTTGGATGGTAGTAAAGGTGGTAGGATTGGTGACAGTGGTGGTAGTGTGGGTGGAGGGCAGCTATAGTCATAGATAGGGATGACAACGGGGGCGGTTTTGGGCAGGTGTACCCTCTCCCGCTCCCACAATCGTTTAGAAACCCCCGCGCCCGTTCCCGCCCAAAACCGCCTAAATGAGGGATATTTCCACCCCATCCCCGCTCCATTTAACTTTTTTTACCCCTGCTAGCACCCGCCCCGCCCCCGTTTAGTTTCAGAATTTCTCCTTCTTTTTAAATTTTTTTCCTTAAATACAATTATATAACTATTGAAATATATATATATATATATATATATGAAAATACAAAGAATTTTTCCCTAATCGTAGAGAGATAAACTTTACACTCCCAATGATTTTTTAACCCCTTTTCCCTCTCAATCCCCTCTATTTATAGACTGTTATAACCACCACTGAGCTGGTCCTATCTTGTTCTCCTTTGGCTGGACTCGACTTCCCTCATTTTATCATGGGCTTCTGAAATGACTTTATGGACCTGGGCCCATACGGCGCGAACTTGCTCCATCCCGTTCGTCCACATCCGACCCGTCCTATGCAATGTGGATCACACCAAACCCGGGTCATTTTGGTGTCCTCATCTGCCCCCAATAATCTCTTTCCTCATTAATGAGGGTGAGATTATTGAAAGGACACGATCTTGGTCTGACAGCTTGGAGCAATAACTCGAGGAATCGAACGGCTGGCACAAGAGCCCAAGTTTCGAGATCTGCAGCGCCACTTTTTGCCTTGATCTTTGGAGTTCCATGTTGCTTTTACTTTTCCTCTTTATAAATTCTGATCTTTCAACCTCCACCCTTCCTCTTACCTCTCGCTTCTACTCTCTGTTGCTTTCCTGCACATTCCGGTGACCCTTTTTCATTTCTCCGGTAAGTTTTTCCGGTAAGTCCTTCCTTTTCGATTTTTAGTTACTGTGCCGTTGCTGAGTTCATCACAAACTTTCAAGGTTAGTTTTTTTTTCTTAAAAAACCTCTCCTTAAGAGACGCCTTTACTGCCTAAGACTTTTCCCCTTTTTTTATGGCTTCCCCTAACCTGAACGCCATTTGATCCAAGAATTATATTCCTCGCGACGTTTCTCTCAAAGTCTACCCAACAAACTTAGACGAGAGATCAGGCGAGGGTCTTCTTCCTGGGGAAGTTTTATTCTCCGCCGTTCACTTGAACGTTATTAGGTTCCCCGTACACCCGTTCTTTTGTTATGCTTTCAACAAATTGGGGCTCTGCCCCCTACAAGTTAACCCAAACTTCCTTAGGGTGATTGCAGTCCTCCTGCTCTTAAATCGTGACAGGGGTCTCAATCTTGACATTATTGACCTTCTCCTCTGCTATCGGATTAACAAGATTTCACAAAACGACTTTTACTATCACTTCTTTCCTATTGACAAACGGTCGATCTGCACTGATAAAAGCTCATTTGAAAAAGGTTGAAGGCGGAATTTAATCGTGGTTGGTGGGAATTGGCGGACTCCGCTCGGCCATTCCTTCCCTATCCCTTCTTCCTTTGGAGCATGTTCTATCTCTGGCTACAAAAAGCTAAAAACACATCCTACCGAAGGCCATTGTGAAAGTTGTCTTCCCTGTTTTTGCACTTTTCTTTGTAGATGCCTTCAAATTCCCCATGATGAATTAGTTTATAGCGTCTGTAGGGCTAGGCTAGATACCTTGCGAGAAAGTGTGCTGAACGATGTCCCTTCAGCTACTGATTTGCTTACAATAATCTCTCTGACATCTCTCTTTTAGGGTCTACAATGGAGAACATTCAGATCCCATCGTTCAGCAGGAGGAGGCGTCCTACTCTCACCCCTCCTAACGCTTCTGCCACCATTTCATCATCTACACCTGCTCCCACATCATCTCTCCTTGCTGTCTCTGCCCCAAAGCAAGTCGCGGTTGCCCCAGCTGCGATTCAAGTCTCAAACCGTCCTGCTGGTGCGCCCTCTGAGCTCACCCATGCTGAGAACCCTGTTGTAGGCCACGTTGCTGAAGTCCGTCCTGCTGCCCCAACCATTATGCCATCGAACATCTCGTCTGACACTTCCTCAGAGAGCACTCAGGATGCTGGAAATTCTGAGGACAATAGGAGGCCAGCTAATGCTGTTCTATCGGAAAAGAGTTTAGGAAAAAGGCCAATGCCTAAGGGCAGTCATGATCTGGGTGATATCCTACCGACCCGAAGGATTAGGACGGCTTCCTTCAGGGTTACTGAACCATCGCCCCCTGCCCGGTTCTTTATTCCTGAGGGCGAGTCAGCCAGAACCTCTGGTCCAATTCCATCCGTTCTTACATGGCGACCTTTACTCAGCCGTGAGGATGGATCAACCATTGGCCCCACTGACTCAATATACAAAGACCCCCTCACCTCGTTTGCTTTCTACAAGGGTTTCTAAACCCCCAAAGACCTTGAAATCCAGAACAAGCTATCCTTTGGTGAGATGTTCTAACAGTTCTCGACCGCTGCTATGGAGGTGACTCTTCTTCTACTGAACTGTGTTCCTTTTCAGTTATGATTCCTTTGTAATTAGTCTGACCTGAATTTCTTTTTCTTCATGCAGACTCTGTTCGGGATGTTCACCTTTCAAAAAACAATTGAAACTCTGAACAAAAAACTTAAGTCTCTCTCTGTGGGCCTTAAAAGGTCTGTTGAAACAGAAACTCTTCTTGAGGCTAGAGTTGCTGAGCTGGAGTCTAAGCTTAGGGACTCAGAGAAGGGAGTTCTTAACCTAAAGGTAGAGAGAGACGGTCTGGTAAACGAGAGGGAAACCTCAGAGCTGAACGGGATTCCCTGAAGACCGAACGGGATTCTCTTCATGATGAGGTTGACGTCTTAAAAACTGAGAAGAGTGTAGCTCTGACAGAAAGGGACTCTCTCAAAGCCGAAAAAGGAAACCTTCAGCGCTCATTCATTGTTGAACGGTTATCGCATGCGAATTCCCAAGAAAAACTTCTAAATGAACGGTCTTCCTTGATAAACATGATCGGCAGAGTCGAAGGGGGTATGAGAGCTCTCCTTGCTCGCTTTACCAGGACCAGTGCCATCCGGTATGCTGAAGGGTACAGAGACGGCTTTGTTGACCGTTCTCCCCCTGAAGGCGAATCAAGCTCTTGTGCTAGTCCTGATGAACTAGATGCTTCTCTGGACATCCACCCCCCAAACAATTATCAAAATCCACCATGCGACCCAGCTGAGAACATTTTTATTGAATGCATAGAGGTCGCATCTTCAGGAATTGTCCCACCCTTTCATCCCCTGAACATTCTTCCTCTTTCTACCATCGTGCCCTCTTCCTCTGTTGCTGCCGACAGACCTATGCCCGCTGAGGGGGTGATTCATCTCGACTCCCCTTCTAAGGATGATGGGGCAGGTGAGAATGGAGGAGATCTCGATGGTCCAGAGGAAGATGGTGGCGAGAATGACAAGTCACGGCCTGGAGAAGATCAGAACTGACATCCAATAGCAGCAGTTTTTTTTTTTTTTTTCTTTTTTTATGTATGGTACTACGTACCTTGAGACCTTTTTGGTTATGAATGATAATGTTTTTGCTCAGCATCACTTTCCTCCTTTGAGTTTTCTATTTTCAACTTTGCAGTGTATTTTCACAAGTGCTTAACATTCGGTCATGTCACCATTCTGTCCTCTTCTTACTCATTTGTGAGCAAGTGTTTGGCGTTCGGCTTGAAGTGCCAGCTGCCACTAACTTGCTGAATGACTGGCGCTCGGCTTGAACGCCTCTTGCCACTTGGCTTCTTTTTATGTTTATTTTTTAGCAAGTGTTTGGCGCTCGACTTGAAGTGCCAGCTGCCACTAACTTGCTGAATGCCTGGCGCTCGGCTTGAACGCCTCTTGCCACTTGGCTTTTTTTATTTTTTTAGCAGGTGTTTGGCGTTCGGATTGAAGTGCCAACTGCCACTAACTTGCTGAATGCCTGGCGCTCGGCTTGAACGCCTCTTGCCACTTGGCTTTTTTTTATTTTTTAGCAAGTGTTTGGCGTTCGGCTTGAAGTGCCAGCTACCACTAACTTACTAAATGCCTGGCGCTCGGCTTGAACGCCTCTTGCCACTTGGCTTTTTTTATTTTTTAGCAAGTGTTTGGCGTTTGGCTTGAAGTGCCAGCTGCCACTAACTTACTGAATGCCTGGCGCTCGGCTTGAACGCCTTTTGCCACTTGGCTTTTTTTTTATTTTTTAGCAAGTGTTTGGCGTTCGACTTGAAGTGCCAGCTGCCACTAACTTGCTGAATGCCTGGCGCTCGGCTTGAACGCCTCTTGCCACTTGGATTTTTTATTTTTTAGCAAGTGTTTGGCGTTCGGCTTGAAGTGCCAGCTGCCACTAACTTGCTGAACGGGAAGAGTGTAAATTTTTAACAAAGAAGAGACTTTTTATAAA